ACAAAAGATTCATAAAAGGTTTGATAAAGTTGATCAACTCGTATGTAGATGATACCACGTTATATTAATTTAAAAATGTCCAATTTCCCTCTTGATTACTTTATCAACTGCAATATTTAGCCCAGTTTTAAGAATAATTATCCAAAAGTCTCCTTTCTGGTAGAAATCAGTAAAAGGTTTTTGGTGCCATGAAGTGAAACTAAAAAGATTATAGCCAAAGGGTTGTATTTTGCTTAATATTGCATATTTTAAGAAGATTGTTTTTCATCCATTTTGTTGTTAAACCTGAACTTTATATAAAAAAGATTACCAACGAATTTCCAGAAAGTCTGCATCAACCTCTTAAGCCTGCTGGCCAAAATGATACCATTCTTAAACTGCAGTTGTGGGCCACACAAAATCACACCAAGGGCCACAAATGGCCCTGGGGCCACACTTTGGACACCGTGATTTAAAATGTGCCTGTCACAAACTCATCCACATTTCATGACTGTGTTAAGGTAAAAATTATTAAGTGTACCCATTGTTGTACCCATACATTATCCATGTAAATGCATTTTTTAAAATGCACCATACATCCTAGTAACACAGAGTAAGCTCCACCTCACATCATTAGAGCTAAATCCCATGGAACATAAAAAATGATTTTCCGTCTCCTCTTCTAACAAAATGTATAGCAATCTTGAGAGAGCACTCTGGTAAAAGCTCTAATGAGATGTGTGTGTCAGTGCACGAAGGGACAGGTCTTAGCACAGAGCTCTGTGGTGTACTCTGTGACAGGCCATGCGAAACAGTATTTCAAACATAACCTTAATGTATGGGTGTGGAGATAAGGCTAGTTTGTCAGATGACAAATGAGAAGAGTTAAGCGTGCTCCCCACAATGGTGGTTGTCTGTATATGCGTCTGTAAAAACCAAATAGATTGAGTTCTCCTCACAACGGACTTGAGATATTTGCATTTTACTGATGGATATAGTGTAAGCCACAATTGGATATAAACAAAATGTTATTAATTAGCAAAACACTTTTCAACCCTTTAAGGAGAAGTGCTAGTAAAACAAAGGTTAAAAAAATAAAGTCAGAACTGCTGCTAATTTGAGTGAGCTCTGAGAAAACACTTGATGGTTTCATTTACAGTAAGTCCGTGACTGTATTTTGTTTCATGCAGTCAGTTGTGAAAAGCATGTCGAGAATTACAAGAGAGGAAATGAGCTTCATTACTCAGTCTTGGTAAGAATAAAAACATACTGTCCCAGGCTCAAAACTGGGATGGGCTTCAGTAAAAGTAATTTAAAACTTAAATTTCTCCAGCCCTCAATGTGCTTGATGAACTCTTCAAAGCAGAATCACATCAGCAGAACGGGAACTGAGCAAGTTAAATTTATGCCATACATGGCCAATTTAATAAAAGACTTTGGAATATGAGCTCTTTGTTGTTTGATTTTTCCTGCTGTTCCTGTCTACATAAATTGCCTCTTTCTTGTTGTCCGTTTCTCTTTTCCGCTATCGAGGCATTAAAGGAAGATTTGGATTGCTCTGTTATTTCTGTAGCACAATGGATCAACCCGTGTAACATAATCAAACCCCTTTCCTTGCATTTAACTCACCCTTCCCTCCCATAACACCCACACTTCACTCTGGTTTTCTTTTATTCACATATACAACCCGTTCCTCTATTTCCTGCTCCTTTTATAAAGAATTAGATGTATAAATGGTGCCTCTGGCATGGGCAGACACAAACACAGATCCTCTCAAAAGGCTCCATTGACTAGTGTTTACTTAGGGCCAGGGACATTAGGCTTTGCTAAATCTGCCTCAATCTACCCCTCTCTGCTTCTCAGATTCTGTTCTGACTGTAACACAGCCTGCCTGCCTGCTCCCACATCCCAACCACAGTGCTAATGTGTGTCCTTGTGTGTTTGTGCACTGTTTGTCTGTGATGGCTAATGTTAAGCATGTAATGACCTAGCTTATCAGTAGTGTAACAGAACAAGGGCACAACTGCATCAGGTAGGCTATACAAGTCAACCACCAGAACGCAAACTAGGTATCATAAACGAGTGAGGATTTACATAAAGTATTCATTGCAAATCATCAGTAATTTGAAGGTTTCCTTTGAGATTTGTGCATTTGTAATGGAAAACCTGTCTGGAAACCCCCATCATTCAGTTAAAATGAAACGTATTGCACGGTAAGACACATAGTTTAGAATTAAATTCCCTTAACACAACCATTAAGGGAAATAACTGATCTATGCATTGCTTTTGTTCTAATGGGTGAGAGAAGGGGCTATGCTTGGATGAATTATTTCACAGTAATTTTCTTCTTTAAGATGCCCATCTATTACCAATCGTTAAAGCTGAATTTACAGCAAGTTGCCACAAGCCGTTGCTATTAGGTTTACATCAAAAGACAGCTTGAATAAAGCCTGAAATTTGGCAAATGACTTCATGAACTGATCTGAAGAATAGACAGAAATAGGGTCTTTAAAAGATCCTTTCATCAAACCTACATCCTTCCAGTTCCCTGCAGCTATAACCTCGTATAAAAGCCACATACACAGACACACAAATCCCCTTTCAAGAATCAATAATTCAGCTAAAGAGAAGCACATGCTACGCCCCACTGCACTAATCAATACAAAGCCAAATGTTATTGTTTCATCTCATTCTCTGACTTTCACATTCTAATTTGGCTTGATTTGCACATGTTGGACACATCACATAACATAACACACAAAGGGAACCCAAATGATAGAGGTTCCTCAAATTATTCTGTCAGACTGTAATCAAAGTATTTAGCTGCTTACTTTGCAATAACATCAGTAGACATCAGATATAATTAGATTTGCAGGAAAGCATCCAAAGAGGATGAAAGTTGAATTTCTTTTTACCATTTCCCATTACTATAATAAGATTTTTGCTCTTTAAACTTGGCCCTAAGGAGCCTAAGGCCACATATTGATAATGCATCGATGACGACAAACAGACCGGTGATACAGTGGTCTTTGTGTAACAGAACAATTTCTATTTTTGTTTTGTTTTGTTTTGTTTTTGTGCAACAGCATGGCTGGATAGACTATCGTGTGATTTTGTCAAGTGGTTTAGTGTGGCAGCCAAGGCTATTCTCTCTTCTTAGTAATCGAGCCATCAATGATCATTAATGAGAGCGTGACACGGCGCTCCACAGCCCTCTTGGCTACGTTGCCCAACACTCTGGCCTGTCTCCCAACCTCCCTTTCTCCTACTAACCCTCTGTCACATTAACCCACAAGGCCACATGATCTAACAATGAAAAAGAATACGAATGTTGCCTGCCAGTTTCCAAACTGTACCGAATACATGCTCCCCCACATATACACACTCAGGACCTTAGTGGCTTGCTCAAGGATATATCAAACGCTGACGATGGTAAGATCGAATCTAGGCTGACCTTGAGAGTGAACTGCAGCACAGGCAAAGGAGGAAGATGGGAGGTCCTGTTGCAACAGAGCAGGGATGCAGAGAGTAAGAGATGAAAATGGGAAAGAAAAAAAGCAAGAAGGAGCATAAGAGAATGAAGAGGCTTGGCTTGATTGAGAGGCCCCAAAGATGAGCAATTCGGAGATATGAAAAGAGGGAGGGAGAGGGGGGATGATGGAAGAAGCAGAGAGGGAGGGAGGGTGAGGGAAGCCAGATGGTGGCAGCACAAATGTATTAAACTATAAATCAGGGAAAGAGTTAGTGGACTGCCAGGTGGGGCTGCAGTCAGGTCCTCCCCAGCTGGAAGTGCAATGGTTCCCAAGAAAAAGCACAAACTTTCTTCCTTTTATTTGACTTTTAAAGTAACACAAAATGTGATGTTTGCACATTTAAACTTTTTCCTGCTTAGAGTAGATTGTTGTTTGGTCAAAAACAATCGTTGTATGAGAACAGTTCAGTGGTCAAAAGTCAACTTCTTGAAAATTTGAGAGCTGAGGATGCACTTAACTTAAAATTTTGAAAATGTTGAATAAAAAATGAGACAAAGAATGAGCATTTGATTAAACATCTACAGTGGTTTGTACTACCACTGCTTTACATCCTAATGTCTTAACATTGGGCAGAAGTTAGTGTTATACATTGTGGTAAAAACAAATAGAGTAATCCCCAAAAGGCTTCCATTTTAATCCCTTGATGATGTCTGGGTAGTGCGCCCAGCCATGCAGTGCCCTGGCAGCCATCAGGACTCAGACCTGGGCTTCCATGCCAAAGGCACTGATGCAGGCTATAGCTAGAACAAACATGGGCAGCCTACTCCATGCCTGCTCAGTGTCACAACCAAACCATCAACAGGGGCTCATTACTTCGATTACAAAAACACATTTAAGTTTTAATGTGAATCAGAAAATCCATGCTGTAATTAGTTTTGATCAGAAAAGTGGCAGTTAGGTTTTTAAACACTGGCCTACATCAAGCATAAAAATACTTCATTAGTAAATTAAATTTGGATCCCTTTTTTTCATTTGCCTAATGTGTGTCTGAATAACCAAAAAGCAGCCATTTGGCACTTTTGATTAAAAAAGTGTCTCTTAATTTATGAAACATGTTGTCTAGACTTTGAAATATCTCATTAGGAGTTCAGCTGCTAACAGGTGATGGTGGTTACTAGACAACTTGCAGTCATGGTCTACTTGCATAGATTATCAGTAGCCTGAAGCCTTCATCTTTGATCTCTTATCCTTGATCATACCCCTGGTGGTGTGTATGTACACTTCCCACCCGCCCCCACACAGAGATGTCCAACCTCCAAGAAGTACCTGCCATCTAAAACCATCACATCCAAGGTGAACTATCTACCACATCTCATCTCTTGTGTGAGATAAGATGGTGATGTGGAGAGGGGTGAATTAGAGAAGCAGAGGATGAAGAGGGAGGGGTCCTGAGGATGAGGAAGGGTGGGAGGGAGATAGGACAAAAGTGTGTGAATGTAGCAGATGAGGGAGTTTAAGGAATTAAAGAGCAGCAGAAGATCAGCATACCTTGGTTTGGAGATAGTGGGGGTAGTAGTAGGTGTACTGAGGGTACATTGGCTGCTGCTCCAATCGCTTGCCCATGTAGCTGGAATCCTTAGCACTGAGGCAGGGAATGGTGACACGGGGGCGAGAGCTGCCAAGTAGCTAGCAATGTGACAGAGGCAAACAGAGAGGCTGTACAATTTTAGTCCTTGCTGTTTGCACCAAAAACTGGTCCTGCAGAAACAAGAGCTGAGTGCCGGACAGTGGTTTGGAGAAGGTCTGCCTCTGATTTGGAAGCTCTTGTCGACTGCACCTCACTTGTTCAGAGACTTGGTACGAGGCAGGTGCTCACTCACTGCTGGATCAATGGAAATATTTCCACAAGTGCTGGAAACCAAGAGCAGTGTATTTGTCAGCGGCTGCTATCGGATAGTGAGGGAGAGGTAGAGGAGAAAGAAGAAAGAGAGGAGGTGCAGGTGGCAGTAGCTCTGGCAGTCCTAAGTATGTTGAAAATGGGAAAGGAAAAGGAGGAGAAAAGGAGGAAGAAAGGAACGATAAGGAAAACGGGAAAGGACGTAACGGTTCTCTGTTTAAGCCGTTTCACTCCAGTCTTTTGCCAGGGCTTTAATCTGACTCTCTCTTACTCCCCCTCACTATCTGTCTGTCCCCCTCTTACATCCACACGCACATACACACACACTTTCTCTCTAGTCTGATTTGATGATGGCTGTGCACTGTCCTGCTTGTCAGAGGAAGATATCCCCAGTGCCAGTTGGCAACAGATGCACTTTGTCTGAAGAACAAGATCACAACACGAGAACGTAGTACAGACAGAGAGCAATCACAGTCTGTAGCAGCAGAGCCAGCAAGACCACAGATACAGGAGAAATGATCCCAGTTTGTAAATAATGTGGAACAAGCGTATATTTAAAAAAAAATCCACTGCTTGGGTACAACCAATCCACTGAGTTCCAGCTGCAGACAGAAAAAAAAAGACAGTGACTGTGTCCAAGGTGCCCAGACACAGAGAATCCCTTGTCTGCGATCCTCCTTCTTTTTGCTCTTGTAAAATGTGTTCCTTAGTCTTCCTCGGCTTTCTCTAGGCAGCTTGCCTCTCTCTCGCGTGTGCTTTCTCTGTTACTCGGTCTCTCAGCCTCTCTCTCTCCTTCTCCACCACACTGACAGGGTGGTAAAGGGGTACAAGACGAGCAGACTGCCTCCTCCTTTCCCAGCCCAGCCGGTGGGAGGGTCTTGAGCAGCTCTGTGCGAGTGAGGGATCCAGACACAGACCAGCGGGCTGCAGCGTTTCCACAAGCTGAGAGAACGCAGAGAAGAGGAGAGGAGTGGAGACTGGAAGGGTTAGTTCCAGTGCAAGCAGTCGATTCCCCCTACTGGCTGCTAATGAAACTACTACCTGGAACACAATGTCTTCATACCAAAGTGCTCTTTGTTTACTCTTAAAGTTTCACAGAACTCCTAATTTGCACAGTAACATCAACTGACATTATAGAGCAGGAGAGTCGAACTCAGTCACAAAAGGAGGTCAAAATTAAAAACTTGGTTCAAACAAAGGGCCAGTTTCAATATATCCATTCTCAAGTCAGATACATGACATCTTTTCTTGGCCGCAGGGTCATTTGAAGTTCTTTGATGCTCTTTCTACATTAAAAAAAAAAAATTAATAAATAATTCAAAGATTACAGATGAATACAAAATTTTCTTGACCTCAAAGTTTACCAACTGCCATGAGTTGTCTGTGCTAAAATAAGGTATGTTAGGTTTTAAAACAGAATGAGAAGAAATAATTAATTCAACCTTTATTTATACAGGTTAATCCCATTGAGCCTCGGGGCCTCATTTACAGAAGACCTGCTTTTTTAACAGAGTGATGACAACATTGGATAAAGACAACAATAGACAATCATAAAATAGACATACAAATTTATTTATTGTTTTAAAAGTTAAAATAAAATGGCAACCAGAAAGACCGTCAAAAGGAAAAAGTAGCGAAAAAACAGCTAGATTGTAAAGTAGTGTAGAAAACTACAAAACAGGAACATGTCTGCATTGGTTTTTGCCAGGAACTTAGATGTTTAAAGCCACTTAGAGAGGTCAAGGTCAAGAGCTTCAGATCTTTTTGCAAGATATTCCAGGAAAAAGGAGCGGAGTAGAAGGCCCTTTTGCCTAGTTCAGTCCGCAATGAGGGAACACTGCAGGTAATAATGTCCTGAGAGCGCACGCTGTAGCTACACTCACGCAGAGACATGTAGGAGGAGATGTATGAAGGCAACAGACCAAGAAGTGATTTAAAGATGAAAAATGTACCAGTGAGAGTCTGTGTGAAGTTAATGTTGTTCAGTTAACCAGTGAATACAGAGTGCAATGCAAATGACAATAAAGAAACCTTGACATTGTTTTCCAGGCTTGCAGGTCTTTCAAAATCTTGGGACTTTAGCTGCCTTTTTGTTCATTTGCAGTTGTATTTGACCGTAACGAGCAAACTGTGCAATGTGTGTCTGAAAATAAATAAATAAGAAAAGTGAGCAAGTGAGGGACAAAATATTTATATATCAGGCCTAAATACATCTACAAAAGAACAATACTTTGAAAATTAAGTCTTTAAAAACAGGAAAAAAATACATCTACTTTTTTTTGTTGTTTTTGTAGTTTTAGTAATTTTCACAGATTACCAAAAAATATGAACAAAATGTATTTCTGTGACAAAGTGTCTAAAGATCCTATCTAAAATAAGTATTTTGATAAGTTATTGGCTATGTGTAGACAATAATGGGAGCAGATAAGAAAAAAGGTGATGAGACTCATATGTAAGCTGTGATAATTTCAACCACAAGATTTCCACATATTTCTTTATAGGAACTATTTAGGACTAGTAAAATGGGTGCTTTCAACTGTGATGGGGTTTCCAGATTTTTAAAAAAAGTATACAATCGAAGATAACCTTTAAAATAATAAAATATGCTACTTTCTGAAGTAATTTTGTCAAAAATGTGTTGCAATCTTAACTCGCATTTTTCTATCACAATTTCTTACACTGTTGCCGTCTGATCAAAGACAAAAAAGTAAATATTTGACTTTAACTACAAGTTAGTTTTTTTAAACTGCAGTAAATGAACACAGAAGACAGAAAATAAATCGGATAACTGACCAACAAATATAAATTATGATACTATTTACAAAATATCTACAAATGTATGTTAGTATTTTTTAATTACATATCTATACTATGTATTGGTATTCAGTCTGAAAAGTTAATTTAAACTAAAGTTAACAGTATCACCCAGCAGTACGGGTGCATCTTAAAAAATTAGAATATTGTGAAAAAGTTGAATATTTTCTGTCAATTTCAATTCAGTTTGTTTATATAGAGACAAATCCCAACAGAAGTTGTCTCAGAGAACTGAACAGAAACATTCACAAACATAGAAAGTTAGTAAATAACGTTAATTATTTGAGGAGCCAACAGATTGCTTTGAGCTTTCACTTCATCGCAGTCTCTCATTCTAAGCAAGCACAGAGGCAACAGTGGAAAGGAAAAACTCTCTCATGAGGAAGAAACCTCCAAATCACTTAAAGTGCTCCTGCCCACAATGAGACGGGTACTGGCTGTGGAATATTCGGATTTTCTGAGACACTGAATTTTGTTTATTTGTAAGCCATAATCATCAAAATTACAAGAAATAAAAACTTGAAATATGAATGAATCTATACGAATTACACTTTCTAAAATGATTGACAAAAATTATTGAACTTTTTCCATGATATTCTACTGTTTTTTAGATGCACATGTACTTAAAGAATGCCATTTCATTTCTGCAGAGTTCAGCCATTGTTGATTCCTTGTTAACGTTCACTTAAATGATTCTGACTCAGTTATGAAGACCCAATGTTCTTTTTTATCTTTCAGCTGTCCCAGATCTGTATTTAAAGATAATGGAAAAACATTTTTCCGCAACTTAATGTGCATGTCTTTGAAACTTTAAGAGAGCACCCCCCAAAAAAAAAAAAATCCAACACAAGCACAGATAAAGCAACTCTAGCCAGAAAGCTCACCAAACCAAGAACCTTCTGCTTTAACTAATAATCACTGCTTTCACAATCTTCAAGAACTTAGAAGATTAAAGGAAAAAGCAACTTCTATGTTCTTCTTTGCAACATTATATCGTTATAATGAATGTGCAATCTCAAACACAAACATTTGGTCATGTCAGACAGAGTTAACCTGATCAAAAGCAGCATGCAGCTACGCTCATACACTTGCAAATAAGATCAAACAAAGCTCTTACAACTGCCTCACTAATCATAATTCACCAAATAAATTCTCAGTAACTGAACAAAATGTATCAGGCGTATATCAATGACGCTGCATTCACACGTTCAAGAGTCTAATTTTTTATTCATTCAGCACATCAGCACAGTTGTTATATTGAAATTGTTCTCGGTGAGAAATGAAAAAAGTCTGCAACCGGAGACAACTAGATGAAATTACTCGAGTGAAAACAAGTCAATTTGGGCAAATTCCACATCTGAGAATACACCCGTCCATGTGATCAGGTGTTTTATTTGATGCACTTCAGAGCATTACACAAAAACAGGCAAAGTTAACATCTATAATATCCTAATTACCTATTACTGGCAGCAGCTTGAGGAGGTTAAAATGGTGATTTCTTAAAGAGAGGGACTCCGTAGTTGCAGGTTTGCAGAAGATTTGTTGCTTCTGAGTGCAGTTAAATTGTCACTGACACCATTTGACAGACTGGAAATAAAACATGATGGCAACGAGATTCTGGTCAACACTTCAGTGTCATCCCAGATCCAACTTCTGTGTACAAAATAATAAGCACAAATATAATAATATAAATATTTGATATAGGACATTAATGGCATTAAATTATTTTTACTTTCCGTTTGAAAATCCTGAAAATAATTTTTGGAAAAAGAAAGATCAAAGTGTAATATATCTATAAAATACGAAGAATAGTAAATGATTACTGGATAAACACTGAAAACAAAGTCCATGTTTATACGACTGGAAAATTGCTTAGGCTAAATATGTTGCCAACAAATTAAGTAAATTTGACTTACCAAGATTTCATAAAACTTGTAAACTTTACTTTAAAACACATTAAACTAAAATCTACCATGATTACAAGAAACAGTTACAACTTATATTAACTGGATTTATGAATTTCATGCTATTTTAATTCATTTTTTTTACAGTACTGTCCAAAGAGCACCTTTTTTGTATAATTAGAACATGCTACGCCTTGATTTTCCCCTGGGATTAATAAAGTAAGTAAATAAGTAAGTAAGTAAGTGTAAGTAAGTAAGAAAGTAAAAATAAGTAAGAAATAATAAGTAAGAATAAGTAAGAATAAGTAAGTAAGAGTAAGTAAGAATAAGTAAAAGTATAGTAGGTATAAGTAAGTAAGAGTAAGTAAGTAAGTAAGTAAGTAAGTGTAAGTAAGTAAGTAAGTATAAATAAGTAAGAATAAGAAAGTAAGTGT